TTCAAAACTGAGATTGCACCCCAAAACCCCAAAACCCCAAAACCCCGCTGATGAATATTAGCATTGAATATTGAAAATTAGAGGACTTATATTTTAGTAATAATCATTATCATTTCTGGGTAGTTGAGTTATATTGCTAAGGTGTGATTAGGGTGCAATCTCAGTTTTGAAGGAAAGTTTTCCATGTGATACGCAAATTTCTGTCATTGTATTGGCAACCTCTTCCAAACTTTAGAGTTCTGACAATGTGGTCTTCAAATCTTTCATCAAGTTGTTTTGATTTTTAGGCAGTGTGAGCAAGTACGGCATTTAGGTTAAGTTTCTCAAGTTCCTTAAAGTGTCTCTTAGCAATTTCAATGACAAGCTTTCTAGCAGCATATTGAGCCTCTATAAATTTTAATTAGGGATATAATTACCTGAGTGATAAACAATAAGGTTGATATCCTTCTCTTCGTTTTATGGGTTTAGGAGGATCATTTTAGATGGCACATCCTCAATCTGGAAGTTATCAAGAGCTGAACCATTTTAATCTGAGCCATCCTTATCAGCAGGAGGATGCTAGTCTCTTTGAGAATTCTATTGAGAGGTTTGCTTATTATTGGAGATTGATGATTATTTGGAATGAGCAGCTTGAGCGTTTTATTACTATGCGGCTGAGTTATATAAAGACTCAATAGAGTTATTGGGGTCAACATCTTCTAATCTTGGTTCTCTGTGATTGTTGACTCTCAAAAGTGCACATTCATTTCTAACTGCATTATCTATCAAAGGTCTGTAAGCAATCTTAACCTTTGATTGGATTTTGTGGACTTCATCATTGAACTTCTCGTTTTCATTATTAAGCTTAGTTACTTCTTCAATTCTCTTTTGAACGACAGTCTTTTCTTCTTCACTTGGTTCATTACCTTCTGCATCAGGTTAAGGCATTTCAGGGACTGGATGAATTGGCTTTAGTTTGGTTCTGGCAATCTTAATGATTACTCTGTACAGAGTCTCAATAAAATCTTTACTGATGACGAGATCCTTGAGCACTTCGAAGAAGAATGAAAGACCGTAGTCAGTTATATTGGATTTTGTGAGTGAAAATTTCATAAATGCATCATCGTCAATATCTAACCTTTCTACTTTCTCCTCTTCATTAGGTTCAGTTGGAATTTCCCTTGAGTTATCTCTGTGTGAATCTCCTCTGGCAGAGTTTGGGATCTTTTCCTTTTCCTTAATTGTTGGATCTCTAGCCAAGTGCAGAGTAAGAATACCATCAGCAAAGTTCTCATGCACAAGTAAATCTTTAAGATAAGCTTCAACTTACTCTTGTGTGAAAACAAAGTTTTGGTTTTATGGGTTGGCTAGAATGTAATCTAGCAGGCAAGTGAAAGTAATGATAAGCTCTCCAACGAAACCTCCAATAAGGAAGATACCGTCTTTCTTGGCAGAGGGGTCTCTGACATCGTAGATTTTAATCTAAGGGTTATATTCCTCCAATGATGCAGAACCAATTATCTGAGTTTAGATCTTCTCAAGTAACTGTTGGATTCTAAATCTTTCTCGGGCAGCTGCTCTTTCTTCTCTCCTCTTCCTTTTTTGTTCCTCTCTCTCTCTTTGAAGTCTAAGTTGCTCTTTCTTTTTCTCCTCTCTCCTCTTGTACTCCTTAATCATTGAGTCTCTGTGGGATTTGGCATTGTTTCTCATGGTGTAATTCAGCAGTGAATCAAGGTTATCAAGTTGCTCTCTTCTGTTATTGATATCAAAGGATATTTGATTGTATAGCTGTGGGATAAAGTGGCTCTGAATTGAGAACTCTCTTGGTCTCTTGAGAAGACTTTGATCTACCAATAGCTTAAGAGTGTCTCTCTTGAATAACATAAGATATTCTTTTGCCATATTTCTAGCAACAACTTTTCTCTCAGCCCAGATCCTCTGGTTCTTTGCAGTTCTCTGCTAAAGATTTCTTCTTTCAGTCTCTTCGGTACGTCTCTTCCTAGCTCCTTCCATTCTCTGAGTCTCCATTAATTCAGCTTCTCTAATTTGAAAGAACATCTTCTTGTGCTTATCAAGCTCTATTTTTTCGTGATCCTCAATAATCTCAATCTAGGCATGCTCTAAAGCTTTTCCAACAAGGACCTAGAGTATTGGCTCAACCTCTAGATCAAAGTCAAATAGATCTGGATCTTTATCATGCACCTGGATCCCCTTAAGTTCTCCTTCAGGGTTGGGCAGAAAAATTGGAGAAGGCTATTAAATTTATAAAAAATATATTGAGAATACTGGTCTATCAATGTAGTAATCAGGTTCAAGCTCTCTCTCATCAACGATATTATCGACATCACTCAAATCCTCTAAGGTTTGTTAAGCTATTTCAAATACTTACCCCAAGGGTTCTAACCTTGCAAGTCCATCATTTGCCTTCTCTGCTCGTCCTCTTGCATTTATTGCATTCTTGTCATTTCATCTTCTTTGCGCTTCTATGATGAATTTTATTTTAATATCACTAATTTGATCAAAGGAGAAAGGCTTATCATAATTAATAACTGCTCTGAAAATTAAACTTACTCTATGCTACTCTAGTCTTTATTGTCTATACATTGATTCTTGTTTCTATTTCTCGATCAGGGCTGGGTCTGGCTGCATATCTAAAAATATTCATCCTAGCTAAGATCTTACTAACTGGAATGACTAAAGCAGCAAAAGTATTTCCACGGACAACTCTTCTATCATACATGATGTTTTAAGGTGCAATCTTTCTAAAAAGCAGGATAAATATCAAAGAGGTAATTGTACATGTATTCCCTATAAGGATCTCTATAAGGCCCGCCTTGTTTGCCTGCAATAACTTAGGGTCTTGCTGAAAAACCATAGCCGCCTACACCGGCTCCGTTACCATTAATACCTTCCATTTCAATTTTATTTATATTTTATCTATAACTTTATGAAATTTTCAAATTCCTCTCTAACTTTATTTCTTTACTTGTGGGGTTTTGGGGTTTTGGGGTTTTGGGG